GTCCCACTCAGAAAGATGTAGAATAGGGTAGACAATCTCGGCATAAGTCTGTCGATAAACTTCTGTAGTGTAGCAATCCATAGCGTATGCGCTTGAATCATCTTGGTTTAAATGAAGAGCAACTTTTATAACATGGCCACACGGATAACCAGATGTTTGCCATTTCATACAACTACACGTCTTTGCATTTAGATCGACTAGCCCATTTAAGTTATTATCCAGTACTTGAAACAAAGTGTTTGAACATGGTTCAACTCTCCATGACGTTGACTTCACAACACGTTTCGTTATCTTTTTTTCAGTCCATGGTGTAACACGATGTTCCAATGTTCCTGTAAATTTAAATAAACAATACTTAGTAAAATATATAAATATGATAAGTTACGAATTCAAAGAAATAATACCTGCATGGTTTCTTTTCTTGTAGTACCACTGTTGAATAGAGGCTCGAAAAAACTCCATTAACATAGTAATGGGTAATTTCCGGGAATGACGACTTAGAGCGTTGATTGATTCTGCACTATTAGACGTCATGAAACCATATCTTGCTCCAAGTTGATGTACTCTTGACCATCTTTCAAACCCGACATCTTCTAGTGTTTGAGCACACTGAGGCAAAACACGTCTTAAACAATTTATATGCTTATTGAAATCCACTTCCCGATAAGCTTTTACAGCCTTCCAGTATGTCCATTTGTGCTTTTTTATACCAGCAGACCTTGATTTTAGATTTCTATACAAATGAACACCACAAAGTCCATGAAAAGCATCTGGGAAACACCTTCTAACAGCGTTGTCAATTGAGTTTGCCCTATCGGATATGATTGTCAGATTGCTAATAGGACCTATGCAATCCCTAAGATGCCCCATAAACCATGTCCATGAATCAGAGGTTTCAGATTTGCCAACCCCGTAAGCTATTGGCAATATCCCATTGTTAGCATCCATGGCTACTGCTAATAAGTTTACTCCAAGGTATCGACCTTTCAAATGTGCTCCGTCAACTATAATAACTGGGCGCATGCAAGTAATAAACGAACGAATCTACAAAATAATATACACAAGAAATATAATCATTTAAATGTGAAATGCATGTAACTAACAAAAATGAGTCAACAAAATTATATTGATTTACTAACCGTAGCACCAATGGCGATAAACAGCAACTCAAAGCGTCCATCTCTATCTGTTTTGATATGAGTTACCGACCCAGGATTTTTCAGCTTTAAATTGTGACAATAAGCCGGCAGTTGGGCAAACGATGCTTCTGGCGACCCCCTCAACAATTCCAAGGCATAACATTTGGCTCTCCAAGCTTGAGAATATGATATACTAATCTTGAACCGAGCATTCATGTCAGTCATAATTTCATGTCCCCGATATACCCTGCCATTCAAAAACATTAACTCAGCCAGAAAACCACCCAACACCTTTTTGTTTGCCTGTCTATGGTGAGGAAAAACTTGGGTTCTTGAACATGTATGTTTATCAATAAAAGTCCTAACTTGAAACATTTTGCAATCTTTTATTCTCTTTGCAATCATACGCCACGTACAGTTTTTGTCAATCATACACCTTGTTTCGAAACGATCTTTGCTTGATTTGTTAACTTTTAGTTGATAGCCATCTTCCACACATTTCGTATACAAAGCTATCTTCAAGTCTTCCTTTGTATCAAAACAATCATCTTTCTTGACACGAATAACTTTTGTGTAACAATCAACTGCTTTCTTTGCCAACTCTTCTTCCGGTAACTGAAGTAATTCTGGCATATTCCAGTTATACTCCCGTGGCATTTTCTTTTCTTCGGGGACTTTTTCTTCTTCTTTTTCTTCTTCAGGATTATATGAATTACAGAATGGATGTTCAACATGTTCATTCACAGTCGTAACTTCCTCCTCATTATCATCAACAACATCTTCCTCGGCAACGGGTGTTTCATCATCAAAATTCGGGTATTGACCAATATGAAATCATTACACACATGGTCTGTTTCTTCTTCTGAAACATCATCAAATCCGTGTATTGACCAATATCAAAGTCCGGATATTGACCAAGACCAAATTTCGAATACTGACTAGTACTCACAATTTTTCTGTTGGCTCATCATCGTCTAACTGGTCAATACGAAAACCGGAATTTGGTGCTGAAAGTTGATTGGGATTTGGATTAGAGAAAGGTTGTGGGTTTTGAGAAAAACTTAGTTGATTACTACCCGCTACTGACCCAACAATACTACTTCTAGGTTCAACAACATACAATGTAACATCATCTTGTGAAACACTAATGTAAGCAATGAATCGTTCAACATCTTCATTGTCGGTTAACAAATAAACTTTACCATTTCTCTGATAAGATAGCCTAAATCCACTTAGGGGCTCTAAATTCAATTTATTTGAAACACGTAGCATTAGAGTTTCATAAGTTAACTTTTGTAAAGACAATTTTAGTTGAAGATTCATGGGTAAAGGCATATATTGTAAAACACCATGAACATTATCCCATGACCCTCCAAAACACAAATCTATCCAAACATGATCAACATTAGATGGTTTCATGGTTGTAAATTAATTTACTAAACAGACGAGCTGCGAAACTAAAACCTGTTGCCGGATTGGGAAGGATGTCGTTGGATATAGGAACGGATGTCGCCGGAGAGAGTGATAGATGGAGATGGAATGAGTTGCGATTTAGGGATTTAGTTTATGATTTCAGTGTTATATACCCAAAATTTCAGTGTTGTGATTTACAGATTCTCGTTGCGATTTACGGATTATCGTTGCGATTTACAGATTCTCGTTGCGATTTACGGATTATCGTTGCGATTTACAGATTCTCGTTGCGATTTACGGATACGCGTTGCGATATACGGATACGCATTGCGATTTACCCATATGCGTTGCGATTTACGGATACGCGTTGCGATTTACGGATACGCGTTGCGATTTATGTGTTCGCGTTGCGATTTTCATATTCGCGTTGCGATTTTAGAAAATCGCAATGCGAATTTGTACTATCGCATTGCGATTTTCAAGAATCGCGTTGCGATTTTGGAAACTGATTTGCGATTCTGGGGATCGCGTTGCGATTTTTATTTCGCGTTGCGATTTTGTTGGTCATTTTGGCAAATCCAAAAAAAGTTGGTTAAAATCGTATATTATAACTTTTTTTTGGTCACTGAGGCGATTTTCTCTAACCATTTAACCTTTTGTCGGATTAGGGTTTGCATGTCAAGAGACAGTATATCGACACATGTGAGTACCGGCAGTTAACGACGACCCTATACTTTATCTCTCTACAAGACCTTGGCTCAATGAGTCAATAACACAGTGCGTGAACCTACCTATCTCTGTAACAGTTTTCCCTTTCTTGGACCACAAGATTTCTAGACCTGTTTTTAACTATTTGAAAGAGCTGACTGAGCCATTTATTATTGATAACACGATATGCGTGTGTATACATATTATCGAGTTTTGACAACTGATAACAGTTGCAGAAATCAGGGTTTCTTTTTATATTACTTCTAGCCTCTAGGAGCAGGATTTTACTATGCTCGCTTATTTAGATCCATTTGGTTAGTCGTATATTACCGGAAATCATTACTTTTCTCATGATTTCTGAATTGGTAACGCCTTTCGAATCCAAGAAACTAATGATACAATTTAATAAAACTAGTGATATAAACGTATTTCGTTTCTACTGATCAAACCTGAAAACATTATGCTATCGGATTAGGTTTTATAGAAGTATTGAATTGTATTCTATTTTTCAGAGCTAGTCCTAAGGGAAAATAAGAAAGAAAAACAAAGAGAATTCAAAGAAGATATATCTCATACTGATTGGATATGATTGTTTTCAAATATTTTAATGAAGTATTTAAAGACTGTTTTCTTTGGGTAATTTCATACACTTGTATTTTTATTATTTTCGGTATTTTCTTAAGTAACAAAGGATTTGATCGTTTCCTTTATCAGATTAACTACGAATTTTGGAGATGATTCTCCATGTTGGGGATTCTTTGCAAATATTCATTTCACGGCTCTAATACACTAAAAACATCTTTTAAAAATAAATAAACCCTAGGCCCAAATACAATGGACCAAAGCACGTTTACCTTAAAACCTATCCAACTGACCTAAGCCCAATTACTTAGGCCCCCCAAAGCCTAAACTAACAACAAAGCCTTAACCCTAATTTTGAAGCCCAGTTACGTACAATGGTTTGGGTCTGTATAGTCTTTCCCTAAATTAATTGAGTCAAATTGAATGAAATTGAGTCGTTTGAGTTTCTTTTTAAATTTATAAATATCTACAATGTTATAGTTTAAATAATTTTTTTATAATCATACATATAGATATTGTATATGATATACATATATCATACAAATTTTAGGAGTTAGAATATAATTTAAAATTTAATCCATTAATTATTAAAAAAACTAAATTATTTAAGTCTTATTTTATAACTCAACTCGAATTTAATTTTTTTCAAATCGAATCAAATTTATAAAATTACAAATTAAATCAAACCAAATTAAAAATATTAATATTAAATCAAATTAAAAAAATAAATTAAATCAAATTTACTCGTCTCTAATTCAAGATACTTCTACTCCGACTTTTATTATAAAATATTCACTTTTCCCTCTATACTTCTTAAACAACGTTATTCTCTTAATTTTTTCTCACTAATAATTTAATAATCAGGGATGAATTAGGAGAGCGGGGAGGGCAGTCATCCCTTAAAAATCTAAAATTAATCCGTCATGTTCTAGTCCTATACCTATTCCTAGACAAAATTTAATTTAAGTGATAAGCAACTTGATATCATTTAAACAAATCTTGAGTTCAAGTATTTTACATTCAGAAAATCTTTACTAAAAGACTTACCCATTACAACTATACGTATGACCGAAATCTTGAGAAGCCAGAAAAAAAATATTGGTTTAAATGCAATCTCCCCCCCCCCCCCCCCCACCCAACACCCACGCCAACCCCAGGAAAAAAAATTAAACCCTTAAACCAGCATTAGACTCTCAGCCATGGCTTCGCGCTTAAGATCAGTCTCAAAGCCAGCATTCTCTATCCTGAAATCCACCATACACAAGTCAACCCTTAAACCCAGTGCCGCATCTCCTCACTTTCATGTTTGCCCCTCGTATCCCACATTTCCAAGGTAAACCCTTTAAAAACCTCATTTTTAATTTATCATTAAAAACCCAAAAAAAAAAAAATTGGTTACCTTCTAATTCACCAAATTGTTTGTGCTTTTAAAATTTTCAGGCCCGTTTCTCAATTAGGTTCTCTTCAATCTCTGCTTCCTCTCCACTCAGCGGTGTCTTCAGCTCGGCTCACCTCATGTCTTGGAACCGATTCAATGTGTTCGAGGTCGTTGTCTCAGGGTATGCTTTGCAGTGCAAATCCAGGAGTTTGATAATCTCCAAAATGTTTATAAATTTGTTTCCCTGATCAACTTTTTTTTTCAACTCTATGGTTAATTAACTAAGAAACTTTGTTTGTTTGTGTCGTCTTACCTCATGGCACCACAATATTCATATCCAATCACTTGTCAATCTAAAGCTATCAATTTGAAAACACTTACATGTTCTTTTTTGGTTAGGTTTATATATGATTAATTATTATAGTTCTTAATGTATAAGCTATAAGGTTTAGCTTTCTTAAATAAAACCATGAGAAACTAAAATGCAGAAAGGAAGCTTCTGAATTAAGTAACACGAGAATTAAGCAAGTGGGAAAGGGGAAATGATGAGACAAAATTTTGCGGTGCCTCAAGGGCTTAAGTTCAAGGTCCAGTATCCAAATATTTGTGTATGTGTGTGTGTGAAATTAAGTTATTCTGAAAGAGAGTAGGAAAAACAAGGTCTCAATCAAAAGAGCAGAAGAAAAGCCTAGACAACTTGGTGGAGATTAAATTGTAGTAACGAGTGAGTGAGACTAACTGTGCATGCATGATGATTTGCTAAGTTGGGTGTATTGGAACAGGGGTAGATACAAACAAAGGCACTACCTGAGTTGGACAGCTTGCACATGGTTTGAGAAGGTTGTGTACGACTTTACGAACTTTTAAGAAGTGCACTGAAAATTATTGATATTTCTTCTTTTGTTAATCTAATTTGAAGATTCTGTTCTGTTCTATTCAGCTACATTAATATGATTGGAAATGCAGAATCTAGCTATAGTTCACCTATTGATATGAATGATTAGATTACATTATAATTTGTGAGATATAGTGTTCTACATGTCAGACAATGTACTTGGACTCATATAAATGGATAGCCGCATTTGATTGCGGGAAGAATTTGGTCTTTTAAATTTTAGTTGCAGGATATCATCTTTTGTAGGGATTTTAAGGACATTAGAATCGGTAATAATTGTTTGTTTTCCTGCAGTTTAGTGGTCTATATTTTCATGAAATGCAAAGATAATGCCTTTGCCTTTTTGTTCAGATTTTTAGATTGAAATCTGATCTAGCATCAAAGGCTAACATACAAGTATTTTTTTTCTACTGGTATTTGTTTATAGTTTAATTGTTCTTGCAAGTTAGCTCATATCTTATAATTGCTTATCCTGCTATTTGATAGCAGCTGCTTAGTAATCACCATCCTTTGGAATATGTTTAGTTATGTCGGTTTGTTTCCGAACCCGAGTGATTGTTAGATAAGGGCTAATTTTATGAGTGATTCATCGACTTAAAGAAGCGTGTTTAGTTTTTATATCATGATGCTTGCTAGTGCTAATATCTAAGGGTTTTTTTTCTCGTTTCCCATCATTTTGAGCAGAATTAGGTCTCAGTGTGCCTCGATAACAAATCAAAATTCGAAGGAAGTAACGCATGATGGACGAGGGTCGCTGCTTTCCTTCTTTCGTGTGTCCGTTGGGAGTTTTAATTTAGTTCGCAAGTTTGCCTTTTCATTATTAGTTGAATTGAATTTCTATTGTCCCCGATTCTTCGAATATTACAGATGTTCTCTTCAGATTGGAAGCTTATTCCATGGATTCTCAGACAATTTATACGTGTCTTGTTTTAAAAAAAATCATATGAATGCATTGGTGCATGATTCCATATTCAACCTGTAAAAGTTGTGTTTTCAATGCTTAGCAACATGTCTAAGTAGTTCATGTCCATTATATCATTCATGTTTCCCCCTGTTTTTAACAAACGGCAAGTCTTCCTTGTTCTGGGTTTGAATTTTAATCATTGTTCATTTTTCATAAGTAGGCAAAATCTAGTACACGTCACTTACTTTTTTATTACCTTTATATATATATTTTTGGAGGATGTAATTTCTATATGCATATCCAATTATGTAAAGAACCGGGATATTTTAGGGGGGAACGAGTCTAGGTAATATAAGGTAAGACTTTGGTGGAGAAACTAGAAGGTTGTACAAAAATGCAGGCTGTTTTGATTAATATATTTGTAAAGAAAGAGAGATGATAATAGATAGAGAAAATAATCTCAGTGACCGAAAATGCCTTATAATATACGATTTTAACCAATTTTTTTTGGATTTGCCAAAATGAATAATAAATTCGCAACGCGAATTCAAATTTCGCAACTCAGGTTCCAAATTCGCAACACGATTTTAGGATTCGCAACGCGATAGTCGAAATTCGCAACGCGATTTTAAGATTCGCAATGCGATAGTCGAAATTCGCAACGCGATACTCCAAAATCGCAATGCATTTGTTTCTTAAGAATTTTCTCTAAAAAGATAGTATCTGCACGGACGTGTCGAAGACACGTATTACCACGACCACGACGAGACGGATGGCGGCGGCGGCGGTGCGCGAGAGTCCCCTTTGTTCTCTTTCACTCAACAAGGAAGTGGGAAATCGAAGCCTTAAATACCCATTCCCAATAGTGTTTCCAATACTATGTGGGATTGAGTATTACCAACACATGTTTCCAATACTAAGTTGAAACATTTAACATTTGGAAGTTGGAACACATTTAACCAAGTGAACATCCTTTCGGTGGCCAAGATAATTAAGTTGGAACACATTTAATCAATGCTTGAGAAGACAATGTACTTGGCGAAAGTTGGGTTAAGAGAAGATAAAAGAGATGATGTGAAGCAAGAGTAAGCACTTCGTCGTGTTCCCCCGACGATGTCGCCATCACACCATGTAGCCAACACAAAAGACATTTGATTAACCCCAATATGTTGTGTACATCCTGGCACGTAATAATGGAATAGGATCTTATGTTAAAAACAAATATCACTTAAATATTGCAAAACAAACCAAGTTTTCCCAACTCGATTACAAATATCACTTAATTATCTTGGCCACCGAAAGGATGTTCACTTGGTTAAATGTGTTCCAACTTCCAAATGTTAAATGTGTTCCAACTTCCAAATGTTAAATGTTAAATGTTTCAACTTAGCATTGGAAACAAGTGTTTGTAATACTCAAACCCACATAGTATTGGAAACACTATTGGGAATGGGTATTTAAGGCTTGGATTTCCCACTTCCTTGTTGAGTGAAAGAGAACAAGGGGAACTCTCGCGCACCGCCGCCGCCGTTCGTCCCGTCCTGTCGTCATCGTTGTCGTGGTCGTGGTCGTGGTAATACGTGTCTTCGACACGTCCACGCGGATACTATCTTTTTAGAGAAAATTCTTAAGAAAGAAATGCATTGCGATTTTGGAGTATCGCGTTGCGAATTTCGACTATCGCGTTGCGAATCTTAAAATCGCGTTGCAATTTTGGACTATCGCGTTGCGAATCTTAAAATTGTGTTGCGAATTTCAACTTTCGCGTTGCGAATTTGGAACATGGGTTGCGAAATTTGAATTCACGTTGCGAATTTGTTGGTCATTTTGGCAAATCCAAAAAAAAGTTGGTTAAAATCGTATATTATAAGGCATTTTTGGTCACTGAGGTTATTTTCTCTAATAGATATTGTCCTAACTGGTTTTTGCCCGGGCACGAATTTCCTTGGCGGAAAAAGTAATGTGAATAAATAAATGGTTTTTAATAAATTTTTTGGAGTCGCCATTGACCTTTTTGGGTTAGGTATGTCAAATACCTTAAAACAATCTTTTAAAATAGTTATTAAGAAAACATAATTTAAAAGATAAATTGATCTGCGTATAATCAAAAAAATTTAGTAAAAAATGATTCGTGGTCGGTTATATTTAGGGAATGATTAACACACCCACAACGCCCAAAATTGGTCCTTGTCGATTATAAATTGTTTCTAATAGTAAAAGTCTAAGAATTCGAATATAAATTTAATTTATGATTCTCTTATTGCAAATTTATTAAGATAATTCTAAGAAAATATAATAAAATATAAAATTAAAGTAAATATTTATATATATATTTAAGTTATTATAAATATGATATTTATTCATTTAAAAATATCAAAAAAGGACATCTAATTGCTTTAAGACATCCTATTTCTTAATATTAAAAAATAAATAAATATTAATAAAATGTAATAAATATTCCTAAAAATAATTTAAATAAAACTAAATTAAATATATATAATTTTTATAATATTTATTTATTTAAAATACCAGAATAAGACATATAGCTATATTAAGACTGCCCTTTCTTAATATTTAAAAATAAATAAATATTATTATTTAAACAAATATATATATATATATATATATATATATATATGACTAATATGAAAATAATAATAAAATAATAATTAAAGTAATAATTTAAACATATCGAAATTAAAAAGGTAATAATAAAAATAAAGTAAAATTTGTATAAATAACAAAATAAAAATATAAGATTAAAATATAAAATATCTAAATTAATGGACATAATTCAAATTATTATAAAAATATAATTACTAATAGTGTAATTAACTCTTAATTATTAATCAGTGATTAAAATAATAATTACTAAAATTATAGTGGCTAAATTTGTTATTTTACCTAAAATATATAATTATGGAAATGATTAAATTATAAAGCAAATAAATTTAAGAGACTGAATTAAAACTTGTAAAAATTGATTTCAATGACTAATTTGCAAGGATACAAAACTATAAGGATGGCGGAAAGGGTTTTACCATGTGTGAAATTACACAGGAGTCATTCCCCAAAACGGCGTCGTTTGGGGAGGGATTTAAATACCCCTTAAAACCGGCTTTTAAGCCAAAATCCCTCAATTCCCTTTTTTTTTCTCTTTCTAAGAGAGAGAGATCATCTCTCTATAAAAGCCTTTGTCTGGAGGGATAGTCGACCACCTTACTCCGGCGCCGATTACCATCGTCAGCCACCGCGAACGGTGGCCAAAAAATTTAAAATTATCCCAAAATTACCCTCTTTTCCACCAGAACCTAGATCTAACCTCTTTTAGTCCTAAATCCCCCTCAAAATCAGTAGATCTAAGCGATAACCGAAGGTTTTACCTCGGTTTATACAAGGTTTTCCGACGGTGTTTGGGTTCTCCGAGGGTAAGCAATTCATTTTCCTCTTTTTTTTCGTTGTTTGTGGGTTGTCTCTTAATTCGTGGCTATTTTTGGTGTTGTCATTGCTTGTTGTCGATGGTTCCCTCTTCTTGCTCTCCATTTTTTTTGTTTACAGGATCGGTGATGGTTTTATAGCCTCGATGAGGCTCTCGTCAGACCTGGTACAAGGGTCGAGTTCGATGAGTCACCAAACTATAGTGGTGACTCACCCTAGGCTTTAACGTGTGCGGTTGTTGTCTTGGCAGCAGAGCTTCTGGAGTCTTCTGGCGAGACGTCGTGGCAGTGGAGGAGTCGGTTGTGCGGTGGCAGCAAAAACGGCGGCCGCGTGGATGTTCTAGAAGCAACGGTGGCTGGAGATAGGGTTAGAAAACCCTACCTGAAACCCTAAATAGTTTTGGGCTTCTCGAGCCTGGTTTGTAAATGAGCCTTTTGGTCTTTGGGCTTGTAATTATTTATTTAATAATAATATATATAATATATATAATATTTATAATAATAATAATAATAATAATAATAAAAAAAATAAAAAAATTAGTGTCTACAGCTGCCCCTCTTTGCTCATTCTTGTGTTAACAAGAATAGAGCAAAGACGAAAAAGACAATAATTTTTTCATTTGGCTTTTTTTGAGTAGGATGGAAATGTTGAAAACATTCTGCCCAGAAGTCTTATGAATGGCCCTGAGGTCTTATCATCTTGCACTATAGGTCTTACAGATAATCCGAAGGATTTAAGATCAAGAAACCTTTGAAAATCAGTTTCTTAAAATCTCATTTGAAAACATCCTGCACTGTAGGTCTTATAGATGGCCCTGAGGTATTATCATCTTGCACTGTAGGTCTTACAGATAACCCGAAGGCTTTGAAAACATCATGCATTGTAGGACTTACAGATAACCCGAAGGTTTTGAAAACATCATGCACTGAAGGGCTTACAGATACACGAAGGCTTGGAAAACATCAAAAAGCTCCCGAAGGCTTTTTGAAAACATCCTGCACTGTAGGTAGGGGTGTTCATTCGGTTAATTCGGTGGCCGAACCGACCGAACTACTATTTTCGAATTAATCGAACTTTTTTTTTCTTTAACCGTTAACTGAACCGAACTTTTTTTCGAAAATATTAACCGAGCCGAATAAATTTCGGTTAATTCGGTTAATTTTCGAATTAACCAAAAATTTTTAGAATTTTAGAATTTAATATTTTTTAATTAAAAAAACAATTTACAATTAATTTAAATAATATCTAATTATAAATAATATCTAATTAATTTGATTCAAACATTTTGCATTTAGTTTTGATATTATTTTAATTAATTAATTTGATTTGGGTTTTAAATGGATTGGGCCTCTTAATATAATTATATTTAAAGGTTAATTCGGTTAATTAACCGATTTCGAACCGAATTAACCGTTAACCGAATTTAAAAAAAAATCCTTAACCGTTCCCCGACCGAATTAATTCGGTGGCCGACCGAATTAACCGAACTAATTCGGTTCGGTCAGTTAATTCGGTTAAAACCGAATTTTGAACACCCCTAACTGTAGGTCTTATGGATGACCCGAAGGTTTTGAAAACGTCATGCACTGT